TACCACGTGCTGGTGATGAAACTCTCCAATTGGCTCGGCAAAAGTTTGTTGTTGTTTTGTGTCAGTTTTACGTCGCCACATCCATTCCCATTTTTCATCATTGTTCCACAATATTTATCATCATTAAATTAATATCCATATATTTTATACAATACTTGCACTGCTTACCATTTTCATACTTTATATATCTTAGCATATTCATTCACACTGTTCATACTGCTCACAGGCTGATATCTAATGTATTCATACCCCTCACTGTTTATTCATCATTCAATTCATTCTATATTTTATTCTGTAGATTGTGTACATTACTTTTCACTTTACTGCTTTTTGCACCTGGTTAGAAGCTAAACTGCATTTCGTTGTCTCAGTACCTGTAATATGTGCAATAACAATAAAGTTGAATCTAATCTTGAGCAGGAACAAATGTATTTACTTAGTACATATCTGACATTAACGATTAAACACATGTGTGCATTCTTTATCAATGCAAACCGAGTCAAGCCGACTCCGGAGGTGGCGGTATGCACCTTAAAGTTGTTTGCAATCCGCCAAAAAACAGAGAGAAGAAGAAGAAGAAGACGAAGCCGACTCCGAGCTGTCCGACTTCAGGCGAGCTTTTTGAGACCTCCCCCGGCTACGATCGGCTACTCTCGTCTACTTTCGAGGCGAGCCGCTGTCAGTACCAGATATGTTCGGGCTACCAGATATGTTCGGGTGTATTTCCGTCGCATCCGTCTTCCGTCATATTCGTCATATTTTACGGCATCTCAAGAGGGCCACCACGGTCAAATTCCGAACATTTAAACATAGCCGACACTTCATTCTTTACTTTGTCCGTTATTATATGTAGAAGATTATACTTTTTCTCCGTCATGTTGTTTCCTTAGAAACAACTTCAAACAGGCATAGCCTACACTTCATTCTTTACTTTGTCCGTTATTATATGTAGAAGATATTAATTTGTTCTCCGTCATGTTGTTTCCATAGCAACAACTTCAAACAATAACAACTAACCGCTAGCCGCAAAGCTAGCATCACAGCCACTGCTCCGTTTTCGGAGACTTTGCACACGTTTTTCACAAACATTTTCACACGCTAGGAGTACTTCCACTAGCTTCGTCTTGATCTGTAGATGTGATTTGATGTGTCGTGTGTCCCCCAACTCCTCTCCAAAGTTCAGATATTTAATAAAATACTCAGGGGAGTTTCCTGAATTTTCATGCCCAAAACCAAGCACTAGGCCCTGGGTAAATTAAGAGGCTGATCTCGGGCACTTTTGTCCACTTTCCCTGGTGGTCGAAACTCAAGCCAGACATCCCTGGAATCGTCTCAGAGAGTAGATGATCAGTGGGGCCTTGTTTTTACTGAATGATGTGTTTTTTTATGGGGAATTCAAATATGAGCTTATTTTTAGGATTTTCGGAGACTTTGCACACGTTTTCACAAACATTTTCACGCTAGTAGGCTATATAGAGTATGGGAGTACTTCCATTCGCTTCGCCTTGATCTGTAGATGTGATTTGATGTGTCGTGTGTCTCCCAACTCCTCTCCAAAGTTCAGATACTATATACAAATACTAAAAGGTAAATAAAACATTAAACATAATGACAAAATAACAACCTGAAATATATGTACTATCTACACATTTCGTAATTATCTAATCTAGTGGCCTTATAAAAGTGTTGGCTAAAGTAACGCAGAATATATATATTTTTAAATTGTAAATAATTATTAACATTATTTATGTGCACAAGTACATGGGACCCCACCATAGCACCTCACACATAACAAGCTGTCCCGAGTTCCTCCGGCTGCAGTTCCACAGACGGCCGGTGTGTGGCAGCAGAGCGCTGGGAGCAGAGGGAGGTGAGTATATGACGGATGACGGATGCGACGGAAATACACCCGAACATATCTGGTACTGACACCGCTGTCACTACCCGATCTGCAGCTCTGACGGTCTGCTGTGCGCATGTGCGAGATGGTCCGCCATATTGGACAACGCCGGACGGCAACCCAAGTAGGACAAAATTGACATCTAGACCGTCTGAACCATTCGCAAGTTTTTACATGTGACAAAATATGCATTGCGCATTCGCGAGTTTTACATGTGACAAACGGTGATTTGCAGAGTTTTTACATGTGACAAACGGTGATTTGCATTGCATCTGACAGAATGAAGACTTTTGCATCTGACAGAATGAAGACTTTTGTGTTTTATTACAGAATGAAGACTTTTGCATCTGACAGAATGAAGACTTTTGTGTTTTACTATTTGGGGTTAAGACAGAGCCTATCATACTGAATACATATTAGAGCAAATCTCTGTTATCAGTCCTTTTCTTCAGACTATTATTGCTAAATTTGAAAGAGTCCTTACCAGCTTTGGAATTGTGTGTGTATATATATATATATATTGTAGTGCCGAGAGATAGGGAGTCGGAGGCGGTGCAATGGAGGTGCAAAAGGGTAATTTATTAGAGTGTAGAAAAGGACATGTTGTCCGGTTGCAGTCCGGGAAGAAGAGAGAGAAGACAGGAGGGCACACAATACATATAGACAACCACATACATGTCCGTGTGGAAACAATACCCCCAACTCTAGTTCCATGTGTGGATTATGTAACCCAGTGTATTAAAGGTGGTCACCACACAAGCCCCCCCAGAATCCAAACATTGCAAACAAATCCAGCGTCCGGGGAGGAAGCACCACAGGGGCCGAAGAGGGTGAGGTTGCAGGTGAGGGCCGGGCCATGGAACGGGCCGTCGGAAAGGGGGCCGCAGTAGGCGTCGTGGCGAATGAAAGTCATCACCGCACAGTCGTGGGAAAGCCGGGTCGCTGAGTCGCGACGGGCGTCAACAACCCGGTGGTCCCAGCAGGAAGGAGCGCTGCCCGGCCGCAGGCGAGGGCACAGCGGCGGCGAGCATGAAGTCCTCGGGGAGGAAGGAGCCGGGTCCTCTGGAGGAAGGAGCAGTCTCCCCGGGAGGAAGGAGCCGTGGACAGAGGAGAGGCCAGACAGGGGTCCCCGAAGCGCGCCACCCACGGGCCCGACGAAGGCATGGGCGACGTCCGAAACTGTCGAGGCGAGAACGGGGTCCAGAAGCGCGCCACCCAGGCGCCGATGAAAACGCAGGTGACGTCCGAAAGCCGCCGTCGAGGTGGTGAAAAGGCGAGAGGGTCCACACGAGGCCGACCGGACATGGTCGAACCTCCTCTCAGGCACCAGAAAAAAAAACTCAAAAAGGATCGATAGCCGTTAGCAGCTAGCTGGCAGCCATCGGTAGCTGCTAGCCGTAGCCGTTAGCTAACGTGGTTAGCTGCTAGTCGTCGATAGCTAGCGCAGCCTGGATTTGCAGCCGCACGCCCTGAAGAAACAACCCCACGTCTGGTTCTCTCCCCTACCCAGCAGGTCGTGCATCGTCTCAGTGTAGATGGAAGGCCCGCTGTCCTCCAGTGTCGAGACGATGCGGGAATGGCGAGTGACGTCCTCAGCCATTCCGCGGGGGGCGCACCGAGCCTCAGTCCGTGTGCCCAGCCACGGACGTCTCCAACAATCTCTGGCATAACGAGAAAAACAGCGCTTTTCGCCATGTTCGGGTCCGTCCCGGAAACTTCACGAGACGTTGTCAGGGTCACCAATGTAGTGCCGAGAGATAGGGAGTCGGAGGCGGTGCAATGGAGGTGCAAAAGGGTAATTTATTAAAGTGTAGAAAAGGACATGTTGTCCGGTTGCAGTCTGGGAAGAAGAGAGAGAAGACAGGAGGGCACACAATACATATAGACAACCACATACATGTCCGTGTGGAAACAATACCCCCAACTCTAGTTCCATGTGTGGATTATGTAACCCAGTGTATTAAAGGTGGTCACCACAATATATATATATATATATATATAGCACCTTCTGCCATATCGTCACCCTTTGCAGTGATTGACTTGAACACTGAGAATGTTTTTATGAACTTCAGACATTTTCATATACAAATGTGATCATACACCAACACACATTTTAGAGATATACATTTTTCACACACAACCATTTACTAAATTAAACCATATCCCATCATAATACGAGCAAATAAGAAGGCACAGCAATAAATATATTGTGTGTGTGTGGGTGGGGGGGGGGGAGATCCAGGTCCAATGGGGGCAGAGGGGAGAGGTGGGAGAGTTCAGCATCCTACAGGAAATGTCATTTGCATGTAATATTATTTATTCATATGGAATTATATAACTGGAGTTTGTTATCCTTTAATTTTGCTTGATTAATTAAAAAAACACAAACATAAAAAAGGGGTCATTCAGGAATACAATTATTATATTATAAATAATAATAAAATAATAAATTATATTATAATATTGAATTAAATATTTTTTTGTATAGTATTATTTCATTTAGAAAGGCAATACAAATACAATAGAATAAAAATACAATACAAAACTTGGGACAGAGCTAAGTAACTTATCAGTTAGTCACAACACAAAATAACAGGAGAATGAGAATTAATTACCTTTTACTGTAAAGTTCGATGACGCACGGCGCATTTGATCTCGCTCATTTTAGAGAGGTCTGTGTGAAATTCACCTTCAGACATGTATTCTCTCAAATTGTTGTAAAACACTAAAGTCTTCATTCTGTCAGATGCAATGCAAATCACCGTTTGTCACATGTAAAAACTCTGCAAATCACCGTTTGTCACATGTAAAAACTCGCGAATGCGCAATGCATATTTTGTCACATGTAAAAACTTGCGAATGGTTCAGACGGTCTAGATGTCAATGTTGTCCTACTTGGGTTGCCGTCCGGCGTTGTCCAATATGGCGGACCATCTCGCACATGCGCACAGCAGATCGGGCAGAGCTGCAGATCGGGTAGTGACAACAACGCGTCTCAAACAAGCCTATTAGCTCCTCCGTTATCACTCCTCGATCCTCCGGCAAAAATAAAGCCACTGGGACGGTTCTCAAGATGGCGCAGACAAATCAACTTCCGGTGATACCGAGACCGAGGAGAGACGAAATGAAAAATAAGACAAGTGAGACGCAGCCCGGGTCTGTTACGAGCAATTTGTTTTTAAATGGTGTTTTAATAGAAGTTTTAATTGTTTTTTTTTAAAACTTCTTATTTATGTGTTTTACAGAGTTTATTGCCAATAACCGGCCCAGAAACCTGGGATACTGGTATGTCACTTGTTTTGTTTTATTTTATTATAACTTTTATTGTTATTTATAACAGCTGAGTGACCATTTCCCCGGCTGGATTGAGCTGAGAGTGTGAAATAACTGTGAAAGTATGCCTTGTTTTGAACCCTCTTTTAATTTTACATTGTATTGGTGTAGCAACTAAAAAATATGTTTGTTTGTTTTTTAAATGGACCAGGCCAGCATGTCCTATAGTGTTTTTTGTTTCTGTCAAATGTGTTTGTGGCAATTTAATAATTGCAGATCTGTGTTTTAGGTTACGCTCTTCTTCCTCTCAGGCGCAGGTCTGGGCCTGTGTGATACTCTGTCTGTTTTCAGTGTATGGCCTGCACGGTGTGACACTTTATAAGGGTATGCTAAATATCTCACTGTTATTTTCTAGAGGTTGTGGTTTAAGTATTGCATGCTTTTGTTATTTTTGATGTGTGGCTTCTCTTGTTTGTTTTTGTCCTTCCCAGTTAGCAAGCACTGTGACCCAGCGGACCAGACCTGCCCACCTGAGGAGGGTAGCTTACTGTACTGTATGTAGCCTTGTGAATTATATTAGCCTTTTACCCATTAACAGCTGATGAAATTGACATTGTAACCATGTTTTAATATTTGTTAAATAAAGCTGGATTATATTTTGGGAATTCATGCCTCTGTCCTAATTGTACATGTTAAGGGAAGCCTTAAAATTGGTTACCACGATCAACATAAATTGAGTGTCCACGGGTTCCTCCTGCCCCTTAGCTGGAGGTGACATTGTCAGTTTAAATGTAAAGGTAAAGTCACGGTTACCACATGTTGTTGAGATATTTCAGGATAGTTAAAGAGTCGAACAGACTGACTTCCTTTCTCTAATGTCGCTAAAGATGCATAAGTATTGTCAGGTGTCGTTCTGAATTTTAACACTTTGTTCTCATTTCATACATTTGACCTAATCTAAGCTGACACTGACTTGTGGATTGCTTTAAAATTCAAAAAGACCCCATGAGAATGAAATGATGCTGAACTAAACACTGCATGCCTACAACTAAAATCTGCCCTTATCTGTTAAGCCTATTTCCTCTCTTAATGGTACCCTTATCCCCTGAAGGTGATGTTCTGTAGTAGTGACAAGCTAGTGGTATTGCACCTCACCTCACCAAGGTTAAGTCAGATCTTATCACAGCGCAGGTGCGAGAGTGATACTGTTTTGCAGGCAGTTGGAGTGAAACGAAGAGGGTAGGCAAAGGTTGGGGGATAATGCACTGATGACCTGCAGCCCGACTCGCTGACTCACTGCCAGCTTTTTTCTCCTTTATGTGCTCCTGTATAAATAAATATAAGGTGTTTGTGTGTAATGTTGAACTAGCTCAGGGTGGCTCATGTTTTTGGGGGGTCAGGGGAGCATGGTATTACATCGGTCAGGGGTAAAGGTTACATTCTCAGTGTTTGCAGCTATGGAACTATAAGGAATGCCGATATTACTGTAATCTGCGACATTTAGTTCTACCAAAAAAGGCCACTGACATTTAATGGACTTCAATAAAACAAGCCTACTGGAAAAGTTAATTGATGCATGGCTTGTAGCTGCTGTAAAACATTAGTTTAACTGTGTGAGCGTGTGAAAAACAACACTAAATTGCATGTCTTTCTGTATTATAAATACCCCCAAATTACGTGTTTGTTTGAGCTGAACCAGGGGCTGCAAATTGACTTCTGTGAGACTATACAACAGTGTAAATAGATTTTACGCTCATATATTATAATTTAAAGGGTGTGGGTTTAACTTGTTACAATTGGTGTTGTGTTTTATGACAAAAACAAGGTTTTAAAGATTATACAACAGCTGTAATTCTTCTGCCCTGACCTGTAGTGGAAACAATAATCGTTAGTTATGTTTATTTCTTGAGGCAGTAGTACCCAACAGATGGATTTGCATTCACAAATCTATTTGTTGCGATGTCCATGCATGACTGAGACAGACAGAATGTGACAAACATGATTGGGAAAATATAAACACAAGTTTATAAAACAGCATTTTTAAAATCATCCCTAACTGGTAGACATGACCAGCAGGTGTGGGCGCAGATTGCTCAATCACACTTTGTTCCACTTATAGTAGGCAACATTATGAATCCATCTGAGCCCACCCAAAATTATTTTAACCAAGCTTTGCTGTAAATATCTACTTCATTGCTATCATGACAACCAAGCATTGTGAGAAGATCCTGTTTTTATGCATACATGTCTATCATTGGGTTGTTGGGTATTTTTTCTGAGGGACTTTCACACCTTCGCCCACCTGAATGTCCTTTCAGGCTGCTGCTATAGATATCCACAGCGAGGAGGAGAAGGCAACGACGAGATGCAGCAAAAAAGAGACAGAGTCAGGAAGCAGAGAGAGCTTAGAGAGAGTGAAACAGTGAAGACACCAAATGTGGAACAATAATCCAGCTGCTTAGTGAGTTTATCAAGAGTGAGAGAATGTGCGTGAGAAGTGAAAAGAGTGAATGATGACAGGGGAAGAGCAAGGAAAATGAGCTCCCTACCTGCAAGTGCATCAAAGCCTTGTCATGTCATATACTCACCGCTCACACACCCACTCAGCACCTCAATGCCTCAACCTAATGAGCCAAGTGCCGCTCAATGGCTGCTGTATACACCAGCACCCTCACGCAGCCATTATAAGGCTGTGTTACAGACAATTTATCGCCCCGTACATCACTGCTTCTATTTCCATTCGCTGTTGTCACAGCCTGCCCCCTTCACACTGTCATGTTACCTGCTCACTGACTTTCTCCATGGACAAATCTTTACTCATCCCACAGTATATGACATTGGATGAGTGGTTTCTATCCATTTCACCCAACATTTACAAGAGTGACCACTTAAGTAGATTGGTAGTTTAAAGGGAGCTGATACCGTTAGCTTGTTAAAACAATCTCCAAGTGACATGTGTGTGGCAGGCATTGAGTAATGACAGCATCTCATTTTTCTATTTCTGCTCCCACCGATGCAATAGAAACATTCCAATGCTTTCCCTGTGCATTCACTCCTGTGTGAGGATCTGTTCATTATTCAGATAATGTAACCAGATCGGGTTTTAATGCCAGGTGTTTTCAGATGTTGTTTCATTGTACCAATACATTATTCCCTTTTCAATCTTTGTGTTTGACAGGTTCAATATAAACTTGTCTTGCATCGTTATTTATGCATCGCGAGCTTGACAACAATTGTTTGAAAAAAAGAGCATCGCACAGATCAATGTGGTTCTCCAGATGTCATAATATTGGTTACCAAATAGAAAAGTTAAGACACCAAACAAAACGATTTCATGTGTGCATGTTATTATGTAATATGTGTTTCTAGTAAACAATGCCAGTCTTATTAAAACACAAGGGAAATTAAGGATACATAAAGACTTTGCTCTCACTAAATGCAATAAGTTCCAGAGAGGGAATGGTTTTAAAGTATTTGGCAGTGTTTGCTATTTTCTGCAGTGTGAAACTGATCATAATGATTGAGTTTAGGTAACGTAAAATAGTGTGTTTGTTTGACCAATACACCTTCACTCTGTCAACAGACTTTTGCAGCATTACTAATACTGTTACTCTGAGTATCTAATATTGATAGCATGGGTTTATCTTGGATATACCATGCAGCCTGGTGCCTGCATTGATGTCAAGAACCCAAAAACCTCTAGCCAAGCATTGTATTCGAAGCCCTATGAGACCAGGCTGCACTGTCAATCCAAAGGCACTATTTTTCCTTCCTAGCCAATATTTTTCAAAGGAACTGAAAAACTGTTATTATAATTTCAGATATTACAGTCAGAAACATCTTGGCCACTCTAATAATCTAACACCTTGTGCAAACAACTGTGAAATTCTCATTATCCTTTTTTGTTATTCCTTTTAAATGGCTAAATTAGCCTGATAGTTTGTTGGATAACCAAGCTTAGTGTATCTGGGTCAGGAGCTACTGAAAATGTTAATGATCATCCATTTAAATGCTTTAACTTGTACAGGCAAGTTCTCTTTGCCATGTGTCTGCTCTTATCACTGAGAATTATCGAGTATGCAGGTGCGATTATGACCCTCTGTTCCTAAGGGTACCATTTGTATTACAGGTAAATTAAGTGGTAAACACAAAAAGTCAAAACAATATGAATGAAAATCGAATTTTGCTCAGAGCTTTTAAAAGGCTGCAACTTCAATGTTGTTTTTAATCCCATCATATTTTCAGCTCTCCATCTCTCTGGATGCTTTCAAAACACTCTTGTTTACGACTGGTTTGCATCAAAGATCCCAAACTTTCGCTGCACAGCAGAACCACAGTAATGATGGATTAAGTGAAAATGGTTTAAACAATATGCTCAGTCTCATTATGTGCACTGTCACTCATTGGCTTATGTTTATTATGCAATGTGTAAGCTTCCGTTCAGCAAAATTCAGCAGTGTTATCTTCAACTCAGTGATGCAAAGTTCTCCAAAGTTCTAATGCCAGGCTGTATTTTCCGAATGTCTGTAACTTAGACACTCTTAGTTTATTAAGATTGATTGATCCCAGATGCAAGTATCACGTACTATAGAAAGGTAAGGAAATTATACATGAATTTGCATTAAATTCATTCATTCTTTGTTTCTCTATCTCTGTTTCTTATCCTATATCTAATAGAACTGCTCGGGTCTTGACAGATTGAGTGGGGAAGTTCATGAGATCTTTCTAGAGGGTTATCAAGAATAACTTTTATCCAATGACCTTTTCCCTCTCTGTCTGTGTCTGTGTATTCTCTTGTTCCGATTAACCCAGCCAAATCTTTTTTCTTGTTTATCTATATCTACGCCGGGATCCGGAGTCGAGGCTGATCCTCTTGCTGTAGTCCTGTGTCTTGGATCCTCTATCCTGAGTTCTGGATTAAGTCGTGGACTTCGGGTCGTGGCTGAACCTGTCTCTGCGGTCCTGCCTTGGGTCTCGTCATGCTGCTTCCCTGATGGCTTCCACAGGATTGTAGCGGACATCCTCGTGGATTCATCTTCTTATTACAGACACATGCATTTCCTAACATTCGGTCTATATGCTGTAAAATGTATTATCTCTTCGATTTACACACGGCATCTATTGCACGTCTGTCCGTCCTGGGAGAGGGATCCCTCCTCTGTTGCTCTCCCTGAGGTTTCTCCCATTTTTTCCCCTTAAACTGTGGGTTTTCTCTGGAAGTTTTTCCTTGTACGATGTGAGGGTCTAAGGATAGAGGGTGTCGTTTTTCTCATACTGATATTCTGAACAATCTGTGCTGTTGTATTTGCTGTAAAGTGTCTCTACTGTAGGCTATTTTTTATTATATGTACAGCACTTTGGCTCGACCAAAAATCGTTTATAAATGTGTTATATAAATAAAATTTGATTTGATTTGATTTGTTAGTACTTTTCAATGATGCTTTATAACTGATTTAGATGGTTCCCTCAGTTAATCTGGTTGTCTAATCAAGGGCCATTCAGACAGCTGGAAGATGCCATTTGGAGGACACTTTATCCAAAGCAACGCGCAGTAAGAGAAGTGCCTCTTCAGTGTGGTGACCTGCGGGGAATCGAGCCACTAACTCTTTGTAAGTAATCACTAAGCTGCTCAGAAGGCGGAATACTTACTGTG